TCACATCTAACATGTGTATTGAAGGTGATGATTACCAGGACGTCACATCTAACATGTGTATTGAAGGTGATGATTACCAGGACGTCACATCTAACATGTGTATTGAAGGTGATGACTACCAGGACGTCACATCTAACATGTGTATTGAAGGTGATGACTACCAGGACGTCACATCTAACATGTGTATTGAATGTGATGATTACCAGGATGTCACATCTAACATGTGTTGTATGAGAGGTAGTTACCTTGATCTTTTCTAACAAACCTTGCGTTAATACCCTAAATGCTGAAAATTTAGCAGGAGAGTAACAACTACCATTTTCAAGAACTATGGTACATGTATATCCCGGCCTGGGGACAGAACCCATTGCCTTCCTCATTTGGGCAATCATTCGGCGATATATAGCCAAAACTAATTTGCAAAAGAAGCACAACTCCTGGTTTTTAAAGATAAGAACAATACTAAGATTTCCTAAAAGGAGTTTATATACATGATTTAGAAATTTACACTGCAATCACTGGCTCCTGTCTAAAACTGTTGACAGAGTACACAGATTACATGGTCTGGTTCCTGTCCAAACAACAAATTCTGAGTGAAGAGTTTATACAGTTGTGTTACAGAATTTTATAGTACAGCCCACAAAGTGATTGCAGATAGTAAATTTTAAAATCAAGTATGATATGACCCATCCAAAGAAATCTTATCTACTTAGATAAAAAGATGCTCCAGGATTTGTGTTAGCAGAGGGCCTGTACTTACACATTCTTTAAGATACCGTTGGGGGTGCCAGTCCCATTAAGAACCGACCTCGGGACAGGGACAGATTCTTGTGTTCTTATAGGGCAAAACAAAATACAATTATATACAGCATGCCTTTTTGATGATACCTTTTACACAGTCATCATATAGTCATAAGGTCTGCCATGTCTGACAGATTACATACCAAAGGGAAGTACTAGAAATTGCAATATTTCAAATGAATGTAATTCAGATTATGAAAACATTTTCAAGAAAATCCCAGAATTGTTATAATATATGGCAGAACACATACAAGTACATTGAGGATTTACTGTATCCATTGATGTATGCCTGACTCACCTGTAAAAGTCAAGTTCTTTCTGAAGTCCCTGGATCTGCTGCTCATAGGAATCTATGACATCTAAAAGTCTGATAATAAAGAGACAATTTATTTATGACCTCTAAAGTCAATTTATAAGTATGTCTGATAGTATACAGAGATAATTCATATAGGGACTGAATGGATTTTTTTCATGTACATTGCGGCAATGAATAGCAGTAGCTGATCTACATATCCTGTGGATTGTGTTAACGTCAGTGTTGATTTCCTGTGGGGTTGGGATTTCTCCTTCCGGCATTGTCAACAGTGAAATTGGACGTCCCTGTGTCGGAGGTACACTTATTTCCAGTAATATTTTCTCCAATTCAAAGTACAAAGTCAAAGAACATATATCTATTTTCAGGCTTGACAATCAAGTAACATTGGTAGACTGAGTATGTACAGGGATTTTATATACTCCTTAACGTGGTCGCCACCTTTCAAGGAATATGCTGCAGGGGGGAATTAAATGAGGAATAAGTACAAGGAGGAAGTATTTTAGTGTAATTTTTTCAATTCAATTTCAATTATTCTAGAACATGAATTGTTCCAATTATTTTCTTCCTTTTTTTCTAACAAGGTGTTCAAGTGGTGTTTTTTTTGGTGAAATGGGAAGAATGGTGAAATTTTCATAAAACAAATGCCAGGCTCTGTTGTCATAAAATGTTCCCCTGCTCAAACTCAAGATTCTCAATGCTATAGCTGAATTTCAATTCCAGCTAGAAAGCATATTTTCATATGTAATTTTGATTCATATTTTTATAGAACATAGTATATACTTGTAGCTGAGCACTATGACAAATATTTTTCCAAGAATCGTAGACTTACAATGAAGTTGGTTTTAGCGTAAAACTTGAGTTTGAGCATCAGTACGTTTTCAGATCATTGTTGTACGTCATTGAGCATCTTATCAAGACATGATCACTAAGATAAATTCTTGTTTACTTGTCATCCATGGTGTTGTGAGCCCGAGAAGTCCTCTTTTTGAATTCCTGGAAAATCTGTGTCTGCCTACCAGTCCTTTTGTCATCCTATCAAACACAATGGTCACATTTGTATTGACATCTTTAATTGACACACCAACCAGAAAATTACTTTCTGATATATCATTCAATTGGAACATAGAAATAATTTCTGAATAAAATATCAGTATATCTCTGCCCTCATGCACTTTTTAAAATAATAGACATAATTTTCAATATTATGTCTATCTGAAGTCTCCATTTTATTTTTAGTTTGTCAGAAAAATCAAAACAATTTTTTTCTATAAAAGATAGGAACAGCTTCATTAAAATAACCATAAGAAACAATGATACCTCCTCTGCCACACGCTGCATTTTCTGTTTGAGCCGCTCTATCTCCCGCTCTTGTGTCTGACATTTATGCTGTAGATGTTTACATTTAGCGTGTATAGCATTCTTGGTGTTAAGCAATTTTTCTTCCTCGTCAGCATAAAATGATGTCTTCATGTCTTCAGTCTGTTCAAGTTCCTATGAAAGTAGGATAAACATGTCAGTGTGTAAAATGAGGAATATATTATTCTCCCACCCTTCACAGGTGTGTCTCCCGTTCAAGCCGGCAAAGATTAGCTTGTCACCCCCTAGGGGGAGATAGCCTCGTGCCGATAAGCACGTGTTCAATTGTGATGTCATTGAAATGCGTCATCGGTAATTGTGACGTCATCAAAAGTGGATGACGATATGCATACCCCACATGTGTTTTTGTTTACAAACATGGCAGACTACTGTCGGTGGAGCTGTGATTGAAATAATAGGATGGGTGAAAAATAATCATCCCCTACCTTGAGGGTGTGACAGAGAAATCTCGTACCCTCGGGTGATTTATTTGGTTGTCTACCTGTCACACCCTCAAGGTATACGAAGGGGAAGATTCTATTAATCAGCAACTTTTAATGTCTGTCATTTAGATATTATCACCACAGTTACTATGGTCCTTGTCCTCTAAATGCACTCCATCAAAATTTGATAGTTGATACCTTGTAATGAGGAGTGTCAATTTGTGTGTTCATCTGTGCAAATCAGGTCAAAAATAAGAAAAAAAATTCTTTCTTCCCTACAATGCATCATTTTTGGATTAACAGGAAGTCTGCCGAATATCAGCATATACTGATGTATTTCAACACTTGCACCAAAACTTTAACCAATGCTGAAGAGAGCACCAACACTGGAGTGATTGTAATCTTAGATGGGTAAAACTCTTTTGGCAGTATGGGGAAATACCGGTGGTGATTCAAACCTGTAACAACATGTTGGACCAAAAACATGTGCTGGGTAAGTAGCGAACTTGATCGGAAGCACTCTATAGAATTTAGTCAATCAGAAGCATTCTATAGAATTTAGTCGATCGGAAGCATTCTATAGAATTTAGTCAATCGGAAGCATTCTATAGAATTTAGTCAATCGTAAGCATTCTATAGAATATAGTCAATCGGAAGCATTCTATCGAATTTAGTCAATCGGAAGCATTCTATAGAATTTAGTCAATCGGAAACATTCTATAGAATTTAGACAATCAGAAGCATTCTATAAAATTTAGTCGATCGGAAGCACTCTATAGAATTTAGTCGATCAGTAGCATTCTATAGAATAAAGTCAATCGGAAGCATTCTATAGATTTTGGTTAATCGGAAGCATTCTATAGAATTAAGTCAATCAGAAGCATTCTATAGAATTAAGTCAATCAGAAGCATTCTATAGAATTAAGTCGATCGGAAGCATTCTATAGAATTTAGTCAATCAGAGACATTCTATAGAATTTAGTCGATCGGAAGCATTCTATAGAATTTAGTCATTTTTTTTCGAGTTTATGGAAAATGATAAGATGGTCAACAGGGTGTCTTGAATGTCAAAACTGGCCTTTTAACTTTTAACCAAATGTTTCATGCATAAACCAGAAAGATAGCTCCTTACAGATTAATATAGTCACAGAAAATGTTTAATGAATTTGACTTTGATCTCTGGCAAATGACAAACTTCCTATAATTTAGAGTGTAATAGAAAAGTGTCAAATGACACAAAATATGTTGAATGACTGTCCAGATTATGCTTTAATATTCAAACACTGAAAATTCACGCCAATATACTGTACGCTATATTTCCATTGCCCTTAAACATTTACTTACTTGCACTCTAGTCCTTGAACTCTCCAATAAAATTTTAAACTCTTTCATTCTGCTGTGGTATTTTTCAGCTAAAGATGTCTGCTTTTCTACATCATCCCTGGAATCAGCAGAAGTACAACTAAGGGAAACAACTCAAATATAATTACTTTGTTGTTGTGGGTAAGGATATAATTAAGCTTGCTGTTATATTAGGGTTTGGAACTTATTTTGACTTGTTGTTAGTGGTCAGAAAATAGTTTCACTTGTTATTAGGAGATAAGGCTTACTTTAGCTTGTTGTTTTTGGTTGGGGGTAGTCTAGCTTGATGTTGGGGTCGCAACTTTTATAATTACTTCAGCATGTTGTTATGGGTCAAAATTTACTCAAACTTGTTATTTTGGGCCAAGACTTCCTTAATGTGATAAGTTGTAACTTACTTAAGCTTGTAGTTATTGGTTGTGACTTACTTAAGCTTGTAGTTATTGGTTGTGACTTACTTAAGTTTGTAGTTATTGGTTGTGACTTACTTAAGCTTGCAGTTATTAGTTGCGACTTACTTAAGCTTGTAGTTATTGGTTGTGACTTACTTAAGCTTGTTGTTGGTGAGAATAAGATCCTGGATGAGTGTTTGTCTATGCTCACAGTCCCCCATCAGTGATATCAAATTCTCACGAATTATTTTACTCATAGGTGTATCCAAACTTATTGTCCTTCCTGAAAAATAAACATTCATCATGTAATATCGTTTTTCAGAGTAAAATATCTACTGGTGTTAACAGTCAGTTACACTGAAGTTAAAACCTTATTTGATATACTGTATTCGTACCTGCTAACAGTGTGACATCAGCTGATGGGTGCAGCATTATATACTGTATTCGTACCTGCTAACAGTGTGACATCAGCTGATGGGTGCAGCATTATATACTGTATTCGTACCTGCTAACAGTGTGACATCAGCTGATGGGTGCAGCATTATATACTGTAT